GGAAGGCCGGGAGGTGTCCCAGTTAGCTGGCCACTCGATTCAGGATGCCGGTTGAGTTCGTTCCAGTGGTAATCGGGGCCTGCGGCGAAATTATGACGGAGCTCAAGGAGGACCTCACAAGAACGCTAGGCCTGAGCGAGGTCATGGTGAAAGCCCTGTTGGAAAGGCTCGCCCGATCGGCAGTTATCGGGACAGTCCGAGTCGTCAAAGCCCACCTGGCTCGAAGCTAGAAGGTAGAGGCCAACGAGTGCCCAGAGGCGGAGGTATTGGAGTAGCGACAGTGGAAAGATGGCTGCGTCGAGCTTATCATAAAGCCACCTACTGTATTGCCAGTAACATCAGGTGAGAGGTGGGTGACCTGCCAAGTTGGCAGTAGATGCTCTGCTCTTAGCAGACATCGTTGGAGGTCGGATGGATTTTAATGATGAGTGATGCGCATGAGGGGGCGGGTAGCTCGCCTCACGGAGCTGCCGCCCCGAGGGGAAGGACTCGAGAACCTCGCCGGGTCAAAATTCAAAGGATACTACAGCGGAGCCCCCTCGAGGTACGGAACTGAGCTCCTCGTGGTAACTCCGGAAACTGCAGGAGAGAATGCAGGCCAACAAGTTCTGAGTGAGTTGGAGTGGGGTCAGGTGGCCCCCACATCCCTNTGGATTGTGCTCGTGAGTGTGCGCATTCCTCTTTTTCGCGCATTGCTTTTAGCGAATCGACACAGCACCGTTCATGTGCGTGCTCCTGGAACGCCACACCCCGGGGGACTGTCAGTGGCAGTTCTTCCTCAACATCTCGGAGAGACCTCTCGAAACGAGTCAAACCCGGCACCAGCTGGCGCAACTCAAATAGAGAGCACCGAGGGGGTTGGCCAACAACATCCGACCAAACGAAGGGCGCCTCTTTGGAGCGAGGAAGAGGTCTCCACGCTGAAACGGTTATGCTGAGCCTATCGTGGTGGACGGATTGCATGGAATGAAGTGTCCGAAGCATTTGGCAGCTGCCACCGGCCACGAACGAAGGGTGCGCTGGCCGCGAAGTCAAGGAATTGACGGCTGGTGAACATGAGTCACCACCTCAACCGAGCACTGGAGGCACCCCAGCCATCGATAGCGGGGAGAGTGTTATGCTCAACGAACCACTAAGAGACAGAAGTTGCGGCGAGGGTTTGATACCCAATGACCCGCAGGAAAGCGGAGAGGGTGTAATGCCTGACGACCCACAGGAGAGAGAGAGATGCCAGGGAAACGGCGAGGGCGGAATGCCTAAAGACCGCGAAAACAGATGTTGCGGTGAGGGTGTAATGCCCTGCGATCCGCAGGAAAGCGGTGAGGATGTAGTGCCCAACGACCCGCAGGCCGCTCCGCAATTGCACAACCTCAATGGCGGTCAACCGAATGACCACCTCGAGGAGAGCAGGGACCAAGTTGACGGAAGCAAGCTCCGTGCCTTCCGGCTGCCCGCAAGATCTTGGGAGAGATCATTGCCGAATGGGCAGTTACTGGCAAGGTGACCACTGGATGGCTATGCCGTGGACGCACTGTCCTGATCCCCAAAGAGGGTGCAAAGGATAACCCTTCTAACTACCGCCCAATAACATGCCTCAACGCATGCTATAAACTGCTCACGGCGGTAGTGAATGCCATCACCCTGAAGCACTTGAGCAGAGGCTATGCCATACCCATCAACCAGAGGGCATTGCAAAAGCAGGAGTGGGGGTGCACCCATACGTTGATCGTCGACAAGGCAATGGTAATGGATGCCACCGCGCAAAAGCAACACTCCATCACTGTGGGCTG